CAGATCAAAGTAACAAAATATTTTCAGCCAAAAAGAAAATAAAATTACCCAAATATAGGGAAAGACATCCATATTCAGGTGAGGGGGAATATAGAACAACAAATAGACAAGGCCAGATAAAACATCCTCTGTTTTATATAAGACACTAAATGTACAGAACAAATAAAGAATTGAAATCTTCAAAGTATTTTCATTACAGGGAATGTTGTCCCAATATACGCAATTATTGTCTACCAGCCCAGCTCGACAGAAGGAACTAAAATGAGTCTAAGGAAGTTAATTACACCAAGAAGTACAAAAGGTGACTAATTCCAGAAGAGTAAATCAAAAGTAGGGGATTTCTTCCACCATCACAAACAAATAACAGGAATCAAAAAACCTTGCTCAGTAATACTCACCATATCAATAGTCTCAATTTTTCAATAAACAGGTGCAGACTAATCAAAGTGATAACATAATAAGATCCAGAGTCTCATTTCCAGCCACGTAGGGATTTTCAGAAACCTATCCTCCCTCTTTGACTCCACTCCCTAGAGACTCTATTGAACCTCATGAGAAAAAAAAAAAGAACAACTTTAGTCTTAGAGTCTTAGAGGATTTTAAGATCCTCCCCCTAGTAATATCACTAATCCTGACTGTCAGTGCTGATTACTCAGATTAATTTTTCCTGGTGAAACCAGTAGCCAAACGTGTAAGCTAGGACTACTGGGCAAAACAGGCCACCACATGTCTCTATATCTAGATAAGGTAATAGGAAACAAGAATATGACACCCATGCAACAAGACAAGACAAAATACTAACACTTAAAATTGCAACCAGTCCTAACTCAGATGCCTTGACACCAGCACAAAAGACAACAAGTAGCACCCAAAATAATGTCTCCACCAGAACCCAGACACCCTACTTACTACAGGTGGCCCTGAGAAATGCAATAGAGCTGAAGCAAATGACAAGGACTTCAAAATAAATAGCTCTTGTAAATATGTTTAGAAACCTTAAAGAGGATATGAGTAAACCCGTTAGTGAAGTCAATGAAAGCACAAACAGTGGAATGAAATGATGAAAACAGTCCAAGAAATGAAAGGTTAAAAAATTACTAAAGTTCTAGAGAGATGGCTCAGTAGTTAAGAACACTGGCTGCTCTTCCAGAGGTCCTGAGTTCAATTATAAGCAACCACATGGTTGATGGCTCAAAACCATCAGTAATGAAATCTGGTGCTCTCTTCTGGCCTGCAGATATACATGCAGGAAGAACACTGCATACATAGTAAATAAATAAATCTTTTTTTATTTCTTTATTAATTAGTTAAAGATTTCTGTCTCTTCCCCACCACCGCCTCTCTTTTCCCTCCCCCTCCCCAATCAAATCCCACCTCCCTCGACAGCCCAAAGAGCAATCAGGGTTCCCTGCCCTGTGGGAAGTCCAAGGACCACCCACCTCCATCCAGGTTTAGTAAGGTGAACATCCAAACTGCCTAGGCTCCCACAAAACCAATAGGTGCAGTAGTTAAATAAATAAATCTTAAAATTAAAACACTAATGTTCAAACAATAGGGATAAAGCCTGGTCCCACTGCCAGTGGTACCACTGACTGCCCAAGTCACACAACTCTCATCTACATTTAGAGATCCTAGTTTGATTTTATGCAGATTCCCCCATTATTATTCCAGCATCAGTGACCCCCCCCCACTCATTCAGATCAGCTGTTTCTGTGGGCATGCTCATTATAGTCTGACCCCTTTGATTATATTATCACTCCTCCCTCTCTTCAACTGGTCTCAATTCAGTGTTTTGCTGTGAATCTCTGCATCAGTTTCAATCAGTTGATGGATGAAGGTTCTATGATGACAATTAAGGTAGTCATCAATCTGATTAAGAGGGAAAACCAGTTCAGGTACACTCTTGACTATTAATTAGGGTCCAAGTTGGGGTCATCCTTGTGGATTTCTTTTTGGAGCCCATTCTTTTTGGAGAGATACCTTGCTTAGTCTAGATATAGGGGGGAGGACCTTGGTCCTACCTCATAGTGATATGACAGACTATATTGACTCCCCATGGAAAGCCTTACCCTTTCTGATGAATGAATGGGTGGTGGGAAGGAAAGTGGGAGGAGTGGGGGAAAGGGAGGCAATTTTTTTTATACCAAAACTATACAAGCACTCAAACAGAAGTTGAATATTAACATAATAAAGGCAATTTACAGCAAGGAAGAGGAGAAACTCAGAGAATTTTCATTACTAGCAGGAACAAGACAAAACTGTCCAATTTTTGACACATACTCAATGTAATATTTGAAGTCTTAGCTAAAACAATAAGAAAACTGAAGGATATAAAATTAACACAAATAGGATAAAGAAGTAAAAATACCTTTATATGTAGATGAAATGATTTTATATATAAAAGACCCTAAAATCTCCATTAGAAAAATTCTACATTTGATAAATAGTGCAACACTCTAATAGGAGACAAAAATAATTTACAAAAGTCAGTAGCCTTCCTGTACACAAATAAATAAGAAATATGGTGAGAAAGAAGTCATGGAGACCTTGGGCTTCACAACAGCAAAAAAAAAGAAAGGAAGGAAGGAAAAAGGAAGGAAAGAAAGAAAGAAAGAAAGAAAGAAAGAAAGAAAGAAAGAAAGAAAGAAAGACAGACATGTCTTGATGTCTTGGTGATAACTATAACAAAGCAAGTGAGAGACTTGAATAGTAAAAACATATAAACATTTAAGAAAGAAATTAAAGAAGACATCAGAATGTGTAAGAATATCCAATTATTATTGATTGGTATGATTAATATTATAAAAATAACAATTGCTTCTATATGCAATCAACAGATTTAATGCATCCCCCCTCAATATTCCAGCAAAATTCTTCGCAGAAATTTAAAAATTACTCTTCAACTGCCTGCATAAAAACTAAAATCTCAAAAAATAAAATAAAATAAAATCTTAAGATGACTGAAACAATCCTTAATGATAAAAGAATAGCTGGAGCTCTCCCTATCCCAGACTTTAAGTTATATTACAAAGTGTTAGTAATTAAAAATAGTATGGTATTGACATACTGACATAAAAAGACACACTGATTATAGGATTACAATTGAAAACATAGATATAAACTCAAACATCCACAGATGTGTGAACTTTTGACAAAGGAGACAAAAATACACACTGGAGAAAAGACAGCATCTTCAGGAAAAGATGTTCAATTTGGATAACTCTATGTGGAAGATTGCAAATAGAAATATGTCTGTCATCCTTTGAAAAATGAAAACTCCAGCTGGATCAAAGACTTCATCATAAGACTGGATACCCTGAATATCATATAAGGAAGAGTTGGGAATTCACTTGAGCTCATTGGCACAGTAGAGAATTCTCTCAACAAGACACCATTAGTGTAGTCAATAACACACTTTAGTGAAATGGTATCTCCTAAAACAAAGGGGCCACAATAACAAAAGCTACAATCATCTAAACAAAGTGGCAGACAAAAAATGGGGAAATTTTTAAACCTACAAAGAAAGAGATCATATTCCCAATCACAATAACCTAAAAAATACTTAGGAATAAACCTAAGCATGGGTGGATAGGACCTGTACTGTGAAAATGTTAAACCAGATTCAAATTCAGGGGAAAAAAGCAGAATTACCCAAAAGTATTTCAGAAAAAAAGCAGTTATACAGGGAAAACCCTTCAGATTTTAAGATATATTACAGTCACTATGGTAAAGACAGTATGTTATAAGAACAAAACCAGACATGTATACTACGAAAACAATATCAAACATCAAAACATAAGAACTTGTAACTTCAAGCACTTAATATCTGACAAAGATGTGAAAAACATATCCTGGAAAAAATTATTTTCAACAAATGCTACTAATACAGATGTCTAAATGCAGAAGAATGAAATTATGCCAGTATCTACCACCTTGTCAAAAAGCTATCAGGCATAAAAGACCTAAACCTACAATCTGAAACAATGAAACTACTATTAAAAAAAACATAGTTTGCATCCTACATAATATAAGTATAGAAATAGTCTTATTTTATAGTATTACATCGTGATAAGAATTAAGGATAACTATTGGCATGTGGAATTTCATAAAACTTGTTTCTCTATAGTTAAAGAAACATTCAGTGGGATGAAGAAGCCCACAGAATGAGGAAAATATTTGTTAGCACCCCTTTAAATATATATTAATTACTACACAATATAAATGCATATTACTTAATATATTTATATATTATTTTGCTATTTATTATGTATGTATAATCATATATGTAAGATTATAAATATATGTATAAGATTAATATGATGAAAACAGAAAGAACTCAAAGGACAAAAAAAATCAAACAAAAACATACAAATTACCCTTTCAAAATTGGGCCTGTAATTTCAGAGAGTGTTCTCAAAAGAATAAAAAACGATATCTAAGAAATATTAAATGAAATTTTGCCTATTAGGCTGACAATACTTCCTCTAAAAATCCAAACACAATCTAAGAAACACACTAAAACTAGGCAAGAGAAACACTCTTCTGAGTTGTTGAGCCCAAAGCAATATAGACAATTATTAATTACACCTGGTTGTCCCCAACAGATGGAAGATAAGTCTCTACCAATGAAGAAAAACACCATCTTGAAACACAGGGTCTGAGGGACCTGAGCTGGACCTTTCACTAATGACTCCTCACTGAGGACCAGCATTAATGACACCAGAGGTTCACAGGCAAACTTCGGGAAAAGACAAGCAGCCAATAGTCCTACCAGCTAAGGTGCCTATACAAAGGCAAAAAAAAAAAAAAAAAAAAAAAAAGTTTAATCTCTCATCTTTTTCTCTCAATACTTCAGTTTGATTGTCTAGAAGACTGGCTCTTTCATTGCTTAATAAAGGTAAAATGACTAACGTAGAGTATTAATGTGAAAGCAATGAGTAAACATTGTTTGTTTTGACCTTCTCTTGTGACCTTTGATATTTACCAAACTAGCTTCCAATAATGCACTGAAAATGAAAGTCATGTACAGAGTCCCCAGAACTCCACCACTGCTGGAGTGCTTTACGTTTTAGACGATGGGGTGGTCTAGTGTGTTGCTCTTAGCCAGTGCCTATCTAACCTTGCATCTTTCTACAGCCGAAGGAGAAGGTAAGTGGAAAAAGATTTGCAATATCTACTCTCTAGTCAGATGTATTTTCTGCTATGTGTACAAGAATACTTTTTAATTAATTTTAAATTTTATTAAAATATTGGAAATAGAAAATAAACTATCAAAATACGGGATAAAAATAGGAAACATTTTGAATTATAGCCAAATTTATTTATGGATATAGTTCTTATAAGCAATTAAAGGGAAAATTGAATAAAGGTGGTTTTTCTGCTTTATAAACTTCAAAATGTGAATACCCTATAAATATTATTTGGAGAGAATAAATTTTATTTTTCAAATTCATAAAGAACTAATGTAACCAAATTAATTCTCAAAATTAAACAAACATTGACCAGGACAAAGCTGCTGAGAGACTCTAAACATCTCTCGGTCTGTGTGAAGTTCATTTCATCTTCATAGATTGTATACATTTTCACCTTATAGTCATTAAAATGAGTAACTTTTTCTATTTTAATCAAATCATCATTTATCAAATAGAAATGTCTTTAATAAGACAATGAAGAGTTTTTGTTGTAAACTATCAAAAATGCCAGTCATTTGCTCTTTTTCTGAGCTCACCAATGAACGTAAAAAAAAAAATAGAATGAAATTATCTTACCTTTAGACTGACTTTGTGTCTGAAGACTCAGTGTTAGACAACTCCACAATATCCCCAGAATCACAATCCCAGAAAGAGGAGTTGGATTCTAAAACTTAGTCACTGTGTTTAACTCTGGTTTCAGAAAGACTTTATGCTGCTATTTGTGTTTTGCTGATCTTTATATATAATTAAGGATAATTTAGATCTCCATTTCTCACATAAGTAGAAAGGATAGGAACAAGATAATCCTTTCTGAGATCTACCCTTACTAGATTTGTAACATTATTTCAAAGATTTAAGGATACTTTATTGTGTTACATTTCTCTTTAATGAGAAAAAATTATGTCCTTCCAAATGACAGAAAATATTAATTTCATTTTTTTCTTTAAAAACTTTTAGGTTTATAATAGTTTATATTTCTTTCTTGCCTTTCCTCCTTACAGACCATCCCATAGTCACCTGCTGGTTCTCAAACCATGGCCTCCTTTTTGATTAGTTGTTATTGCAATATATATATATATATATTTATATTTGCTAGCCCAGATGATACTATTGTATTGGTGGATACTGTGTGTCTGGCTCTGTACCAACTGAAAAATGACCTACAATAGTAACACCTTTGATTATTTATTTATTTATTTATTTATTTATTTATTTATTTATTTATCTATTAAAGATTTCTGTCTTTCCCCACCGCCACCTCCCCTTTCCCTCCCCCTCCCCCGGTTAAGTCCCTCTCCCTTGTCAGCCCAAAGAGCAATCAGGGTTCCCTGCCCTGTAGGAAGTCCAAGGACCACCCACCTCCATCCAGGTCTAGTAAGGTGAGCATTCACACTGTCTAGGCTCCCACAAAACCAATAGGCACAGTAGGATCAAAAACCCATTGCCATTGTTCTTGAGGTCTCAGTAGTCCTCATTGTCCGCTATGTTCAGCGAGAACACCTTTGATTTTGAATGAGTGAATTTACTCAGACAGAAGCAAGTTAGAATAAAAGAATAAGTCGTATTTAAGAGCTTGACGAAGAGATGAGAGATCAACCAACAGAAAGACAAACCGTCAGCAAAATGGTATTTCCGGACCCTGAAGAAACATGAGGCAACCTTTGGCATTAATCCTCTAAGGTGGCTAACTTATGACAGCCATCTCAACCGGCCCACTGAGAGTCTTCTTGGATGATGTTTCTACTTAATAATAAATAGTAACATAGAACGATCACATGCTCAAATCAGGTACTCACAACTTTCAGCAGAAATTGTCTGAAAAATTTGAAACAGTAAGCTGGAGTTTCCAAATGCACCCCTCCCAGTAGAGAATTTCGCCATGGCTTATCTTTCATTTGTTTTCTCTGCTCTTCCTGGGAACCCAGAGGGGGAATGCAGCTGGCTGCATTAACATGATTATTCAGTTTCTGTAGAAAAATCTACAAGCTAATTTAAAGATGTTACCTTGCTGTTATATTTGTTTCTTACTTGGAAGCTTCATGGTTCTACGTTTTAAAATCAACCTGACAGGAATTAAAAAAAAAATAAGATTGCCTCATATTTCTCCAGAGTATTCTGGTATTTTGCTATCAATCATTTTCTCTGAGTTTATCATTTTTTACACAATTGCTACAATTAATTATTCATTCTATTGCCAATAAGTGCTTGAAGTGTGTCCAATTTGTCTAGCATCAATAATTCTTCTGTGAACACTTTTATACATCCNTGTCATATTGTCATATTCTTGGTCAACTATGTTAGTTGAAACATAAGATATGGACATTAAATATAATTTTTCAGACAGTACAGCCATTATGGTAAGCCTGAAATGAAAGGTAGTTGTTCAAAGACCATCACTGATCATCTATATGCTTTAAATCTCAGTTAGAGATGGTGTGAAGAAGGAATTTATAGGAAGGGAATAAGAAGATGGAGGAAAATACAAATTGTATGAATGATATAAAGACTTTTGATATCCCCAGAAAAGAAAGTTGAAGAAGAATTTAGGGTCTTAGGGGAGGGTCATGAATCTCTATCACAAGTGCCTGAAGCAAATACTTGTGTGAACTGTATATTTTTATTACCTCTTCAAATATTGACCAAACAAAAAAATCAATACACTAAAGTAATATTTTTATGTGAACAAAAAACTTTACATACTTACAGCAGCAAAGCATTTATATATTATGCATCGTTAGGCACCAAGGAGTTTAATCCACAAACAGGACACACTGTAATATGCAAATGACTGCAACCACATAAACAGGCAAATAGGTACAAGGCAAATGTGTGTGTATGTGTGTCCCATACTAAAGATACTTTCAAATTTCCATCAGAATGTACAGAGAGAATAATCATGTCCATTTTTATTGGTTAGGTGAATAAAGGAAAACTAGGGAGGGAAACATGCATAGCCAGCAGCTTCCCTATTAGATGAGTGGTGTGGGAAGGGTTCTGAAGGAGGTTGGAGAACAGTTAGAGGATGGTAGCAATGGTATTCAGAAAAGACAAGAACATGGGCAAATAAGTGAATGCAAATAAAATTCTGTCATATGGGAAACAGAAAAAGAATATCTGAAGCCACATCCTACCACATACATGGAGATTTTACCACCACTATCTTAAAAGATACCTAACACCAAAAATAACTGGTTAGCAGTTTCAGGTTCCATGAGGCTATATCACATAGGAAAAATAATTTTAAGTATCATGTAACATTGAGAATTAATGTTAAGTAAATGAATATGAAATGTTTCACTGTTTGTGAGGATATGACTACAAAATATTACCAAAATTTCTAGTTTACACTATGTAGTCTGGGTAAAAGTTAAATTGCTAATAAGGGAAGTTGTGCAGTGTGCATGTAAGAGCAGCATATGATTCTTGTGTTTTATGAAAAGTTCATGTAGACTAACTTTCCTAAAACAAATCTGAAAACGTTTACCTGTAGAAAATTGTTAAAAATTGATAAAAGACCTAACAATACACATGTTAACTGTTTTAAAGTATTTATGCCTTTATATGTAGAGATTGAACATGCACATATAATTATCCACATTATTCTAGGTAGTTGTATTTAAAAACCTATTGTCACCAGAATTAAGCTGCAGTTTTATATTAATTGGATTGATCTTTTTGATTCTTTGTGCCTCGCTAATTTTAATGAAAGCACATTTATTGAGAAACCTGACAAAATAAAATTATGTTCCTATATATCATGCTGAACTGACTACTCAACATATTTACTAATCCCATGAAACATACCCTAGTGACAATCCTGGAAGATTCATCAATGATATCAATGAGAAGAATGAGGAAGGATGGCAAAGCACAGCCCTCTCATCCACCCATAACTTATTATGCAGTCAAGTTTCTATGCTAGCATCCTATTTCAGTTTTTAAAAAGTCTTGTTGGGCTACCTTTTTGAATACTCCCAAAAACTTCATAGTTAATATCAATCCAAAATGTAAACTTCGTGTTTATTAATAATAGCAGTCTCAAATATTCACATACTCAAAAAGTACTGGCTGATTAAACACCGAGGTGGGTTCATAGAGAAATTATTATACTTATTTATGAGCTTCTTGGTGATCATTGTTCTTCAGTGATGAAATGATACATCAAAAGGCGCTTAAACTATATCCACTTAACCTATATGAAATAAAAAATGATCATCAACTACAAAAAATAATTGATGTTTCATTAGTGATGTTTAGCATTTGCTTCTTTGTCTTTGTTTTATTTTTTCAGAGAGATTTTGTGATTTTCCAAAAATAAGCCACGGAATATTATATGATGCAAAGAAATATGACCCACTGTCCCCTGTTCCTAGTGGGAAGGTTTTATACTACTCTTGTGAATATAATTTTGTGTCTCCTTCAAATTCCTTCTGGAATCTCATAACATGCACAGAAGAAGGATGGTCACCAACACCAAAGTGTCTCAGTGAGTAAATGTCTATTCTTAGAAAAATACTGAGTGAAAGAAAGAGAAGAAGGGTTCGTGGGGTCCAGAATGTGACGGAGTTGGGCTGGGGAAGGGTCAGGTGCAGTCTTTGTTTTGTGAACTATTTTTCTTAGGGAAATCTAGTGGAGAACATATTGTCAACAGGTGGTCTACAAAAATAGTTAATAATTGAAAGATGATGATGAATACATTTAACAACTAACAGATCTTGTCAAACATCTACTTAGTAGCAACTTAGCCATGTTTTTTATGGGCAAAAGTAAAAGTCACTTTGTGTATCCACTGTGTCTGGATTATCTTTTCTCGCAAATATTCTTTTTTAAATTGCTTTTATTGAGCTACATAATTTTCTCTGCTCCCCTCTCCTCCTCCCCACTTACCTTCTACCCTATCTTATGATCCCTATACTCCCTGTTTACTAAGGAAATCTTGTCTTTTTCAAGTGCCTATGTAAATTAGATCCATGTAAATCTCTCTTAAGGTCCTCTTTGTTGTCTAGGTTCCCTGGCATTGTGAATTTTAGACTGGTTTGATGTAGGATTCCTTCTGTATGCTGTGAATGTGTTTGATTAATGAATAAAGAAGCTGCTGGGGCCTATTACAAGACAGAATAGAGTAAACAAAATCCAAGCAGAGATAGAGGAGAAAGTAAACTGAGTTAGGAAAACACAATATAGCCACCAGAGAAACAGACCCATGAATCTTGCCAGTAGGCAACAACCTCATGGTGATGCACAGATTAATGGAGATGGTCTGATTTAAGATGTAAGAATTATCTAGAAATATGCATAAGCTAATAAGCCAAGCAGTATTGTAATTAATATAGTTTCTAAGTGATTATTTGGGGTCTGAGAAGCCGGGAATGAACAAGCAGTATCTGCCAGCAATGGAGGAATGTTCGCTTTACCTCACAGCCATCCCAGCATAAAGTTGTCATCAGTGTTTTTGATCTTGGCTATTCATACAGGTGTAAGATTCTTAAACATGTACTAAAGCAGGCTGGTATTTGCATAAAAACAGAAAGGAGAACCAATGGAACTGAATTGAAGACCCGGTACTCAATCCACAAACTTATGAACCTCTGATTTTTGACAAAGAAGCAAATAATATCAAATGGGAAAAAGAAAGTGTATTCAACAAATGGTGCGGACATAACTAGGTATCAACATGTAGAAGAATGAAAATAGACACATATCTATCACCATGCACAAAACTCAAGTCCAAATGGATCAAAGATCTCAACATAAAACAAACCTCACTGAACTTCTAAGAAGAGAAAGTGGGAAGTACACTTAAACAGATTAGCACAGTAGACCACTTCCTAAATATAACCCCAGTCGCACAGACACTGAGAGAAATGATTAATAAATGGGACCTCCTGAAACTGAGAAGGTTCTGTAAAGCAAAGGACATGGTTAACAAGACAAAACGGCCACCTAAAAAATGGGAAAAAAATCTTCACCAACCCATATTGGATGGAGGACTGATCTCCAAAATATACAAAAACTCAAGAAATTGGTCATCAAAAGAAAAAATAATTGAATAAAAAATTTGATACAGACCTAAACAGAGAACTCTCAACAGATGAATCTAAAATGGCTAAAAGATATTTAAGAAACCATCAGAGAAATGCAAATCAAAACAACTCTCAAATATTCTGTGGAAAGATATTTTACTTTTGCACGTTCCAGAGCTCATTATATCCTTAGACTTGTTACCTATAATACATTGATCCTTTAGTGAATGTGTGCTGCACACCCTGGGAAGACAGGTGTTTTAAAGAAATTTATAGGAAACAGGATAGGTCAGTACAGCAGACAACATCATCACTTGTTGAAAAAACATCCAGAAATGAAAGATAGTAAGTATATAAAAAACTATTTCATATAGATGTCTTTCAGTTGTAAAATATTAAATTTGGAAAGTTATTTCAAAAGTAGAGACATGGCATCCCTGTAGAAAACTCACACCGTAGACCACCAGGAGTTGGTAAGCTTCAGAAACTTTATTCGTATAGCCTGCTTCAGATGTGTCGGTCTTCTAACAATCCTTTAATATACAATCTAACATGTTCTTAATTTCTCCCATAATGTGAATTAATCTCTTTTTCTTCCTAAGGGCTATGTTTCTTTCCTTTTGTGGAAAATGGTAATTCTACATCTTCAGGACTAACACACTTACAAGGTGATACTGTACAAGTCGTTTGCAATCCAGGCTACAGCCTTCAAAATAATCAGAGCAGCATGGCCTGCACTGAAGAGGGCTGGTCCGTTCCTCCCAAATGCATTTCCACCAGTAAGTACCACACTGTGCTCTCATTTCCTGCCATTATCTGTAGGGTTTAAAATCAAGTTTACTGATAATGTGTTAAAGATCTTTTTTCTGACTTTTCCACTGGTCGTTTCTACTTGATTTACAGATGCATCTAAACGGATATCCAAATATACTGCTTTCTGTGTCTATTTTAAGTGGATGTAATAAGTAGAAATATCATAGGAGTACATTCTGAAGACATACTGCTCATGATATAGTCAAACCATTTTCTGTCTGCTAAACCATGATTCATAGGAATCAAGACATGATTAAAGAGATAAAGACCTAAATGAGTTACAAATATAAACTGTAATGTGTCCATTTTTAAATCCCAATAGACTTTAGGGAAAATCTAATGAAAGTGTTATCATTTAAATTGATTACTGTATTGGCAAGTGTTTCATGGCATTGTTAACAGCATTGTAAATCACATACTTTAGAAAATGAATGTTAGTGTTTTGTCGCTCATCAAACATTTTATTTTTATTAAAGGTCCTATATGGACATGCAAATGTAATGAAAACATGAGCAAAATATTCTTACACTTGAAGACAGGGTATTAGTAGAAGCTCAGGATGACCTGAAACTTACTTATGTAGCCCAGCTTGTCCTTGAACTCAATGAAGATCATTTTGTATTAGCCTAAAGAATGCTGGGATATCTGACAAGAGCCACCATTCCTAGCTGCAAATACCTTTCAAGTAACTCTTAATAATAATAAACTCTTCAAATAGTGCTGTGAGTTTAAAGAAATAATTCTGAATTTTGAATTGCATTTGTCAAGCACAGCATAGCTATCACCAGTGCAAATAATTATAACAAAAATATAGTCTATTTCCAGACATCAAAACCTGCATGTAGTTATAAATGACAGCCTCTCGGTCTCCTCTCCAAATTTCTGAAGAGTCTGAAAAGAAATATTAATCCTTTTAACAAGAGTTAAATGCCCACTTGCTTGATCTCAGCATTTTTCTACTTAGACTTAATACTCCTCCAGTCTCACTTGTCCATTTACAGGTCTTTGCAGCCAGCGGTTCAATGTGAAGTGTCATCTGTGTTCAGATTCTGTTTCTTCTAGATTTTACAGTTTATTCTTAGCAAATGTTTAATACTGGTCTTCCCTGGAAGAAAACTAAAGTGCATATTTCAGGAAATTACCCCACATGAGTTCTAAGACACCCCCTCTCATTGACTGGTCATCAGGATCTGTGATAAGATTGCTGGCACTCCCGCCAATGGAGCCTGCTCTAACAGTCCAGTTATCCTCTGGAGGAGAGTCTTCTCCCCCAGCAAAACATTGTCACTGTGTCAGTGTGTTGTAGCTCACTTTCCTTGGCACTATTACAGGTATCCGTCTCCAACAAAATTACTATCTCTGATGATTTTCAGAACCTGGTTTTAGGTTTCAGAATGGGATGCTAGCATGGGGTGTCTCCATTTATTCTTTTTATCTTTTCTTCTGATGATCATTTTTATTGCTAGTTACAAATATCATGTGTTAAGAGCTTTTGAACATTTTTCGAATGAATAGATATACATAGACATTTTATGTTCCATCAGTTTTAACATTACTTTGGGCCTTCTATTTTTTATTCTGTTTTGTTTGATTTTTTTGTTTGGTTTTTTTTTTTTTTTTTTTTTTTTTNTTTTTTTGGTTTTTGAGACAGTATTTCTCTGTAGATTTGGAACCTGTCCTGGAATTCCCTCTGTAGATCAGGCTGGTCTCAAACTCACAGAGATCTGCCTGGCTCTGCTTCTGCCTCCAGAGTGCTGGAATTAAAGGTGTGTGCCACAACCACCCAGGTGGCCCTCTAGTTTTTAAAACTACTCTTGCAATTATAACTTCCTAAACTACCATCTGGTTAAAATTTTTTTTGATATAACATAAAATATACTGAGGGGGGAAAAAGGTTTCAAAACAGAGCAAAATCTAAATGTTCAAAACCCTTGTGCTTTGAGTTTAAATCCCACATATGTTCAAAATGAACATGGGGGGGGGCTGGAGCTGTACCAGCACTTAAGAACACTGACTGCTCATACAGGACTGTGTTTTTTTGCTCCCTTGTTTCAGCTCACAACCCTCTGTATCTCCAATTCGGAATTTTCCAGTGCCATCATCTTACATCTCAGGATACCATTCGTATAAGTGATGCATGGATACATTTTCAGAACACTGTTGCACATAACAACAAACATTAATGTAATAATTTTTAGCATGGTTGTCATTTTTTAACCATCACTGAAAAAGAAAACAGTCAAGTTTGATTGCAGGGGATATGTTTATAAACATCAGTTGATAATATTTGTTTGAGGAAAACAAGAAAACTTTTTTTTCTAGTATTGAACTCTCACAAAATGGCATATCATTGCCTTGGTACAATTGGATTTCTTTCTCTGACTACCATGACAAGTCACTACAAATTTGGTAGAGTCAAACAGTATAATCTATTCATTATAACTTTGGAGACAAGAGATCCAAGACATTGCCTCTTGGCTCCAATCCAAGTGTTGAGCCCCCTGGTTTCTTTATTTTCCCTAAGAGCAGTTCTATTCACCTGCCTTTTTAGTAGCAAGATTCTATTGTTTTGTCTGGTGAGGGTCATCTTCCTCCAATTTCAAACTCAGTAGTTTGTCATATTTGAACATTTTTCTCATGATCCCTACCTCTGCCATGGCATTGTCTTCTGTCATAGCAGATAATAAAGATAACCACCTCTTTCAAGATCCTTAATCACAATTCTGAAGTTATTCTGACTTATAAAGTCATATTTTTTTTTTTGCTTTGGGAGCTTAAAATGTAGAATCAGGTGGGGATATCATTAAACCTACCAAAGTAATTAACAATAAAATACAAGCAAGCTTGTAATTACTTTATAAATATCTTTAACTGAAAAGACTTATTTTTCATTCAATATACAGATTCCCTTTTCTCATCTCCTCCCAGATCTTCCCTATCTCCCCTCATTCTAACCCCACAACTCTTCTCTCTCTCTCTCTCTCTCTCTCTCTCTCTCTCTCTCTCTCAAACAAACAAACAGACATCTAAAAATATGAATAAGATAAAATAAAAACAAAGTCGAGTAGGACAAAACAAACAAGCAAATAGAGGAAAAAGAGGCAAGGAAAAAGTGAAATAAATACAGCTAGCCATAGAAAAATGCTGTGGATTAGAGAATCTTGTATGCCTTAAATATTTACCATTCTAATTGGTAGCCAAGTAAGAAGCATCTGCAGGATGACCAAACTAAGAATGCTGGTAAGAGGAACAGCATAGCCAGGAGTCATCAGTCAGACACCAAGGAAGCAAGATTAGAATGCTTTACTGAGATAAGGTACCAAGCCAAGTAGTTAAACATAGATAAGAATTACGGAATAGCCAGGCGGTGGTGGTGCACGCCTTTAATTCCAGCACTAGGGAGGCAGAGGCAGGAGGATCTCTGTGACTTCGAGACCAGCCTGGTCTACAAGAGCTAGTTCCAGGTCAGGCTCCAAAGCCACAGAGAAACCCTGTCTCGAAAAACATAGCAAAACAAAACAAAACAAAAAAAAAAAGAGTTATGGAATAATGTAAGTATAGGAGCTAGTTAGCAATAAGCCTAAGCTACCTGCTGAGCATCAAATAATTAATATAAGTTTCTGACTGATTATTTGGAAGCAGCTTATGCGAAGGGACAGAGAAACTTCTTTGACAAAAACACGCATTGTAAATAAGGAGGCCACTAGTTTTCAGTTGCTCAGCCCCAAAATAATCTCTCAGAAACCATATTATTTGCAATACTGTTTGGCCAATAGCTTAAGCATATTACTGGCTAAAGCTTATATCTTAATTTAACCCATTTCTAGTCATTTGTGTATTGCCACATGACTGTGACTTACCAGGTAAAGTTCCATCTGGCTCCAGCAGCCTACATGGCTTCTCCCTGACTCTGCTGCCTTCTCTCTCCCTGCATTCAGTTTAGTTTTCTCCACCTAAGTTTTGCTCTATTAACAGGCCAAGGCAGTTTTCTTTATTAATTAACCAACATATTCACAGCATACAGAGGGTAATTCCACATCACATGCACAAAGAAATCTCATAAACACAAAACTTAAAATGATAATATGTAAAGGACTTGCAAATTTTTTTTTTTTTAAGTTGCGAGAATGTCATTGAGTTTGTTTTGTGCTAGCTATCTGTTGCTAGGCATGAGATATGCTAATATCATGATTTGTTTACTCAAATACTGAGACTACCTTGGAGAAAACTAAAATTTTTTTCTGTCATGAGATGTAATCAATTGTAGATAGATTCTGGGCTTGTGTCCACTTCCCTCTAAAGGACTAGGGCCATGTCTAGCTTTGTTGTAGGAGGCTGCTTATTCGTTTCCCAGTCACTCTGACCCACACAGAAATTTGTATAAATTGCAATACTGTTTGGCCAATAGCTTAAGCATATTTTTGGCTAGCTCTCACATTTTAAATTAACCCATTTCTAATAATTTTCTATTTTACCATGAGATTCATGGCCTGCTGGCAAGGTTCTGGCTGGCAGTTCATGTCTTTCTCATCTGGCAGTTCCATAGTTTCTACACTCTGCCTTCTTTCTCTGAGAATTCATTTTAGTTTTCCCAACCTAGGTGCATTCTGAAGAGACATTGTCCAAAAGCAGTTTCTTTACTCATTATGCAATAAAAGAAGCATAAATACAGAATGACTTCCCAAATTTCGCCTTTTCTGTTTAAATAAAAAGGAAGGTTTTAACTTTAACATAGTAAAATTACATATAACAAAACAGGTATCAAACAAAATTATAGTTACAATATTTATATCTACTTTATCTTTTTTCATAACTAAGGAAAACTATAACTATAACTACCTATATTCAACTCCATCAAAGACCCCAGAAGAATATAATATTACTTAGATAAACAGACTATGTGTATATTTAATCTTTATATGGCTTATGGCTTATTTTTCTTATTCCATAACTTTTTCTACAAGTTTAATATTTATTTTGTTATCTGTACTCCTTTAATCTATGACTGTCTATACTCTTTTATGTTATATTTACTGTGTCTTCACTCTTTTTCTTCTCTCTCCCAAGTCTATGTGCATTTTTTATGTACACTGTGTCTTGTTTAGAGGTCTTTTATGTCTAAATCTGTCCTGTTGTGTATCTGAAATCCTTTTCTGTCAAGGAGTACTTCTCAGCAGTGTTACTAGGACTAAGGCTGCTTTGCCTTTTGCCTCCACCCAGTCCACATGCAAAGGTCGGTTCACTGTCTCCTGTGAGCCTTGCACACTAACCCAGTTCCAAGTATATAATGGATCTATGTAGCACCATTAAGCAGATTGTAACATGCTACTCACAAACCATATTCAAGTGCTCAACCACCCTGAAGGAGCCAGAGCTCATGTTGGCAGCACGAAACAGGGAGCTACAATTTGGAAACCATGCAGTTTTTTTCTTTTGCTACTACCACTGAATCAGGAAGACCTCTCTTAAAGCAGTCAGTCTCTGCTTGCTGTCAGCAAACAGATCAAGAATCTGCTTTAAACTCTGGTTTATTTTGTCTAGAATTCCTTTCTAAACTCTCTCAGGTTTTTATGTGGATTTAGTTACCCACATTGGCGAGCCAATCCCTTGTAGGAGGCCATTTCCCAGCTACTCTGACCTGAAATAACCACACAGAAATCTGAATCAATTGCAATACCATTTGGCTAATAGCTTAAGCATATTTTTGGCTAGATTTTATATTTTAAATTAACCCATTTCTAATAATTTTATATTTTACCATGAGACACATGCCCTACTGGCAAAGTTCCAGCTGGTGGCTCATATCTTTCTCTTCTGGTGGCTTCATGATTTCTACAAACTCTATCTTCTTTCTCTCATCATTCGGTTTAGTTTTCCCTGCCTAGCTCCACTCTGACAAGCCATTGACCAAAAGCAGCTTCTTTATTCATTATCCAACAAAAGCAACACACATAGAGAAAGACTTCCCACACCATAGCTTAGATCCATGTATGTTCTGTGCATAATGTCACACACCCTATGAGTTTACATGTGCCTGATGTGTTTAGAAGTTCTTGTTTTCTTGGTGTCCTTCTTCCCCTCTAGCTCTAACAGTATTTCATCCTGGTCTGCCTCAGCAAAGATAGCTGAGCTAGTCAAGCTCTTTGCTTTAGAAGAGAATTAATAATTATTATTTTATAGAATTATATGGTGATATATAAAGAGACTAAGTAAAACCTATTTAAAAATACATTAATAAAATACACAAACCTATATGAAGTTGTTTTAACCTAGTTGTACCTTTACACTACTTCAAAGAGATCATTTCTCCTCTGATTTCACTCTCTTTTCTTAAGAAAAGGATTATGTAAAAGAAGGAAAAATAGGAGAAAGGAGAGTAAATGGTAAAAAGAAGCTAGATTGGTGTCTTCATCTTGATATTATAAATAAGAAATTTGCAAAGTTTTCTTTGCCATTTAAATTATCTGTGTTCTATAGCTTGTTTATATTATCTGCATAAAACTGTGGGTATGGTGAGCACATCCACAGTGCAATTCTAGAGAATACCCTAAACCTAATGTTTTACTCCATAATTTGATAATATAGAGAATAAACAAGTATAGATCGTCATGGTTCAGAAATAGATGTGAGAAAAAAGCTGAGATGGTAGTCTTTGATTTTAAGAAATAAAAGAATAGCAATTGGTGTCTGATTATATAAGCTCAGGGAAAAAAATGATATATCTTGTGTAATGTAAGGAAATTGATTTAAAGGGAATGAAAGAAAAAGAAGTAACTTTGCTTTAGTGTTAAGCCAATCCTGCACCATACACCATACATCATCAATGTGATAATGAGTATTGGTTGTCAGCAGGAACCACCCAGTCAACAAGCATCAGGATATGTCTCTGAGCATCTACTAGACTAAGATAACTAGATTGGGGTACTGCATGGGAAGGAACACCCTGCACTGGTAAGCAATGTTCCATGTGCTGGACCCTCTAACTCATAAAAGGAGAGAGTACTCTGAGTAACAATAGTAATCTCTCTCTGCTTCCTGACTGCAAACACAGTCTGAGCAGCTACTTTGTGTTCTCACCACTATGACTTTCAGAGCATGACTAGGCCCTCCAATTGTGAGCCAAAGCCAAAGAGCAAAAAAAAAAAATTACCTTTGTCAGTTCCTTTTGCCAGGTGTTTTGTCATAGCTACAATATCAGTTTAATACAATCTGTGCTGTTCATTTAAGGTGGGTTTCTACTTAACTATTTTTTTTATTTTCTTTCACTGTTTTTCTTCTCAAAGGTTCTTCATAAATAAATATAACATGTGTTTTCTCTGTTTATATAATTAAACTTTCTTCAAGCCATAATTTCTGTAGCCACAAACCACTAAAACCTTGATATTATGTTTAATCTGTACTTTCATTGGTTCTTTTTGAGCTTGTACTTTGGCTTGATCTCTCAAACATTCAAATATTGTGTTCTTAGATTCAACATGGAAATGTGGGCCGCCTCCATCTATTGACAATGGAGACATCACCTCCTTCCCTTTACCAGAATACCCACCATTATCATCAATTGAATATCAGTGCAAGTCCTTCAATAAAATGCAGGGCAACAACAAAATAACATGTAGAAATGGAGAATGGTCAGAGCCACCAAAATGTTTAAGTAAGTAACTCATTTTCATAGATCATGGGAAAGTCAGTTTCATAATTGGGATATTTTTATCTTTATAATAATACGTATATACATTATAATTACTCTTTTCTCACAGTCACATTTACCAAATATCAGCATATAAAGAAAACAAGATTATTAGATTTTTTATATAAAAATAGTTAACAAAATTACATGTTATTCATTATAGAAGTTAGCTCAATTTGGGAAATAACCAGGGCAGCTAAAAGATAAAACAATTATATTTTTATTTATTATAAGGGGAAAGCTCACGAAACAAGAATGAGATGTCCAAACTCAGTTGTGCTGTGAGAAAACCACACAGAGAAGGGCACCTGGGTCACATGCCATTTTTCTCTGGGTCCCAGAAAGCCACACACTAACTTGGTCCCACCTCTTAAAGATAATTGGTTGGAAAAGATTCCCCATCAATTCATTATTGAGTGCTTATTAACATGTATTGATATTCATAAATTTTCATGCCAGCATAATATTTCCATACCTGTGTACATTTTGCTGTGACTAAATCCAGCATCTCTCATACACCCTCCCGTTCCCTTAAATATGCCATCTAGTTCTACTAATCACTGCAGGCACTCAGGAGTGATCTGTTTTTCTTTCCACTGTGTGAGAAAGATCACAAAGGATCTTCCTTCCTGTGTTTGTCTTATTTCACTTCATGTCCCTCCTTCTCTATTAACTCACCCTCCCACTCATACCACTCAAACTCTACCACTGTCACATATTCAGGACTTTTCTTTTTTTTTTTTTAATTTTCACTGTAAAAGAGAATACATGAAGCTTAACATGCTCTCTTTGGCTCATTTCACTTATTGTCCTGCAGTCATTTTCTCACTCAAATAATAAAAAATTATCTATGATGTCTGAAAATATTCTATCATATGAATATATGACACTGTCTTTATGCATTTATTAATTGATGGTAATCAAGATGGTTTCCCATCTTAGCCATTTTCAGCACATTCATTCTGAAATATCTCAAGGGACTGTTAAGAGAATGTTTGCACCTATATTTGCTTCTTCCCCACACTCTTTTTATGCATCTTCTGCTGTGGTGGGGATTATATGTTCTCAATGCTTGATATTGGCAGCTATATTTTTCATTTTTAAATGCTACTCTAACCAGAGAATATTATGTTATGGAAGCAATGTTAGAGATGCATTCCTTCAGGTTTTTTTTTTTATTTTCTTTAAGCATTTTTTGTTGGCTACTTACTTTCTAGTTCGAATCAGACTTATTGTATTATACAGTTTTTTCAAATAAAAAATAAGGCTTGAAAGCTGAGTTTCTGTAGGTTTATGAATTACTTAATAATATTTTGGTATTTTTTTCCTTTCAGATGCTTGTATAGTATCAGAAGAAATTATGAGAAAACACAATATAAGTCCCAAATGGACAGAAATTCGAAAGATTTATATGCAATCAGGGGACTATATAGAATTTATATGTAAACGTGGATATAAAAAGGCAAATACGTCACCTTCATTCCGTACAATGTGCATTGATGGTTACATCAATTATCCCAGTTGTACAAAAGTTAGCTTAGTGTATGAATGAACCTTTGTTTAGAAATATGCATGCATATTACTAACACAGTTTCAATTTATGCTTGAAGTATTTCTTCTCTTAAGTATAAACTTAATTAATTTGGAGCCTGAGATATGATTGTTACAAATGCAAAAAAAGTGCATTCAAAATATCTAAACCAGAGCGTGGCAAGTCCTAGCACAATAAACAATGACAAGAAAATGCAATCACTTCAGGGTCTGTTTTGATCCACCACTTTTCAGTTCTCCAATTTTCTTCAATACTTTTAACCTAATTCTCTGATCCAAAGTTAACTGAACCCATATTGTCCCAGTCTCCAAATTAGTATTATTTCACAAATATATAACAACCAAACTGTCATACTTAACATTGATAATTAATATAAATAATGCTACATAATATTTTATGCTAAAAAACAGATCTAAAAGTATCTTTATTATTTCCTGAGCATATTAATTTCTCAATTTAAATATTCAATAGTTACACAAAATAATTAAAATTTACTGTGTATCTGATTTCGTAGCTATCATAATGACAATATTAAAAGCTATATTTATTCTGAACAGGCAATAAGCACATATATACTTGTACCCAAAGTAATAGAAAAGGAAATTAACAATAAATACAATAAAATTTATTTAAAAACTATATTTATCTTTAGAGGTAATAGGTTAAAGGTTTCTATTTGATATCTTTAAGACAATTTCTAGTTTACAGTACCAAACATAACTTGTATGCCTTATGACAGTGAAAAAGTGATATATATTCAGCAACTGATGCTGCAGTCTTATATTTTTATTTCTGGGTTATAAATATGTAACATGATACTGCAAAAATGAGTGGCAGTAATGCACCATAGCTCCTGTTTGACCAATGAAAACAAGCAACATTTCAAAAGCCCTGTGTTTCTAACTCTGATTAATGAAACATTAGTATGTAAAATGAATTTTAAACATTGTTTTCAGTGTACTATGGCTAGTAAGATATAACTCTTGTATAAACTGAGGAATATAGATGTTTATCTTTATTTTTCTATATCTCTACCATTAATACAATCAGTTTAAAACCATACCAATAAGTTACTTAAGATCAGAATTTCAAAAAGGTTCACTAATATCTGGGAGAACTATAAAGATGTCAGTGATGATTTTAATAACAAATAGCAGTTCACTGATTGATGGTTCAGAATATTCTATCTGGCACTTCAGCATGTAATTCTGGGAATTTCAAATACATAATTTAAGGTGATCTTTTTCACTCATCTTAAACAGCCTTCCTTTAATTACTTTAGGCAAAAAAAAAAGGTCTAACCTTTCAAAATGTTGAAATCTAAAAGATAAACAGAGCAGGTTTCTTGTATATCATATATTATTAGACAGTGGACATACTGCTGAAATGCCAAGAAAATGCTTAACTATTACTAGTTTAAAATAATTTTTAAAATAATCGTATTTAACTTTAACACTTGTGAAGGCAGTTGTCTGCCAGTACCACTGTAACAAGTGGCTGTAAACTGGATGTGCTGCCTTAAAAGGCACTCATGTCAGAAAGTTGTACAGAACGGCATATCTAAGATGATGGCATAAAATTTAGTAACTGCCCATGACGTTTTTTTCTTAAGTAGGTGCCACTGCATGGCAGCATTTGGCAAGGAAGTGCTCTGCAGTGTCTTTTTAATGAAACTAACTCCATTAGTGAGGAAAGGCTTCTGGACACAATTACCTGGAAAACCCCACTATGGTATCATTATGAAGATGATGTGGAAGCAACATGTATTGTTTGGGAGACACCACATTAAGACTATAGCAAATGAATGATAAAGACATTCCATGAAAACAGGAGCCAAAACCACAGCAGGATGGTTATTCACATCAGAGAAAATAGAACATAAAACAAAAACTAAAAGGGAAAAATTAAGATCATTGTAAAATGATAAAATAAATTTACTAAATATATATATACATAAATTAGATATTGTGTAACGTATTTAATATGTGAAACATTGTTGGGTCCCTAGAGGACAGGCCTTCGCACCCCCACTTGGTGTGTTTTGCACTCTTGAGGTTGGTTGAAAACAGGAACAAAAACAGGAACAATCTGTTGTTTTCAGCAATGTTTCTAAGGATGTTTACCTCTAAGCCATTGAGTTATGGTGATGAGCTTTCTGCTATTGCTGATTTGGCCTCCCCTGCTGAGGGCTATATATACTTGTGAGAAAGTGGACTAAAAGGCTAGTCTGCAGAACCTGAAGTTGTGTTGCGTGTTAATCCTGATGTCCCTTGCTCAGAAAAACGACAGTTGCCATGCTGGCGCGGCAAAACATATTTATAAATCTGAAGAAGAAATTCATTTAAGTGAATAAACAATTGAGTTTTTCCATAGCTCTCTTTTAAATGTGGATTAATGAGACAGACAAACACAATAAACAACACCAGACTTGAATGATATAAATACATATTCTCTTGATCTTCAAAATTACATTAGTTCACAAATAAATGAAGCCAAATGGACACACTTCATATTACTAACAATTATAGGTAACTGAACCTATTTTGAAGATGTTACCTAAGAAGAGTAGTATACACATCAAAAGGCATATAAAACACTGTCCAGGATAAAGCAGACACTGTGCACGGAAGTCAACTTTAAAACCTAACTGAGATTTTACTCTCACCTCACAAAGCTACTCCATGCCATCTGAAGATCAGCATGATGGCCCTCTGGAGCCATGTGCATGCCCATCTCACAGGTAGCATTTCACAAGCCTGGGACCCCAAGCCCTGAGTGGAAAATGTCTTGCATTTGACTCCAAGGTACACTACAAAGAAACACTCTGCTCTCCCTCCTCCTATCAGTTGTGAAACTAACAGTATCATCTGAAGTCCTGTGCTGGTTACATGCCTGTGTGCCCTAATGATCACCCACACCTCATTTTTTTCTTCCTTTTACTCCTAAGGAAACATAATGACAACCTTGTTTGTTTTTAATGGAATAAATAATTTTCAGTCAATATCTTCTAATCATGGTTTTCTTTGCCCCAAGTTCTCCCAGACACTCAAAGCACTATCACCCACTCAATCCACACATTTTTACCCTTTCTCTTTACAAAGCAAACAAACAGGCCAAAAGAAAAACCAAGCAAAAGAAAGAGAAAAAAAGAAAAACATAAGAAACTAATGCATATATACAAACAAAATCAATAAAAACATAATTTTAGAAACCACACTATAAAAGCAAAAGGGCAGTAAGACAAAAGAAATACCTCCAAAAAAGAAATCTGAGATTAAAATCTATATAAATATCATTGAGTTTGTTTTGTTTTGGCCATCTAATTCTGGGCGTGGGGCCTACCTATAAGTGTGGTTAATGATGAACTCTAGCAAGCCCAACTGTGCCAAACCAGGCACCAACAGGTCTTGCCCTCCCATTCCATCTCCCTTGCTGAACCTTTAGGTTGCATTCCTAATACTAGTCACTATGATCTATTTGGCCACTTTGTTATGCCTGACTCCTTCCTGAAGCTGATCACAAAGATCCAACTATCAAAACATCTAGGTCCAGCAATCAAAAATTCCCATTTGGCAACCCCAATTAATGTGTCCAATCAGAACTTAACAATCCATCTTAGACCATTCTAACACAGACTGATCCTTTGTCCCTCTTAAAATTAACACCTGCAAAGCTATTTGCCACTGTTTCTGCCTGATTCATATTCAACCACCTTAAATCACGTTGTTTTGGAAACTGGTGTTTGAGTGTAGGTTGTGACTAATACTGGTTCCAGAGGGGAACACCCTGTGGTCTATGAGTCTCTTCAGTTAACATGCCTAAGGAAATATGATTAAGAAACCTTTTTTTTTTTTTTTTTTTTTTTTTGCAGGAGATGTCACTTCCCTTTCTCAGCACTGAAATGACTCTTTAGGACATTTTGTTATGACTATAGTTCAGTTCTTTGCTCAGCTTCTGGCAGTAGATGGGAAATAAAACAAAGGTTCACAACTAGACAATATGCAGAGTCTGAGAAATTTGGGAACATAAAGTACTCAATGGAACATCTTCATCAAACCACTCCTTTCAAGGTTCAGTAAGCTATGCAGAAAAGGAGGTGGAAAGAATGCAAAACCCAGAGGGGAATCATGATGCCAAGGAAACAGTGTCCTCCAAACACAACAGGATTGATGCACATAAGAATTTGCAGAGATTTAAGCACAGGTTCAAGCCAGACAGGGTCCGAGGATAACCTTTTTATTCTAGTCCCATTGAAAAACTAAAAATGACATGACAAAACAAGATGATACATCTTCTCTAAAATTAGTACTCCAATAATAATGTTCATTGAGAAAATAAATTAAATGACACAAAAACAATTAACTCAAATTAACAATTTCAGGAGCTGGACAGGGGGGGTCAGTATCATGTACCACTCTTTCAGAGGAATAGAATTTTTATTTTCATGGTACTCACATAAGGAGGCTCAAAACTAATGTCCCTCCTGCTCTACATGATCTTATGCCTTTCACAGGAATGAATGTGCACATAAATAAAACACACAGAGAAACACACACATTTTCAGACATATTTAATTTCTATTACTGTGAAAAGATATCATGACCACGGCAATTCTTATAAGGAAAATACTTAATTGGGGTGACACAGTTTCAGAGTTTCTGCCTATAATCACAATGGCAGGGAGCACAGTGGCATGCAGACTGACATGATGCTGACTACATCTAGATCAAAAGACAACAGGAAGTAGACTGAGTCACTGGGCACAGCTTGAGCACATAGGAAACCTCCAAGCTCACACCCATAGTAACTTACTTCAAAGACCACACCTACCTCAAAAAAGCTAACCTTCCTAATAGTGTCACTCACGATGATCTTATGAGGGCCAATTGCTTTCAAACTAACATGAGTTAAACTGCTGTTCATTTCCAAATTTGTATTGAAAACTAGTTAAAACATTTTATGATAATCTCCATTGTTTTCTTAAATTCTTTTAGCATTTTACTCTGTTCCTTAGAAATTATAAATTTTTGGCTTTTTTTGATATCCATGTTTGGTTGTATCCTAGGTCTCTGGGGTATCCCAGCCCTGAGTTCTGGCTCTCAGTGTTTGTTCCCACAATTTCTGTGCCGTTTTTACCCCACTATATCTTGTAGAAAGGACGAATTATGGATTGAAGGATTTGTGGATGGGTTGGTGTCCACTGGAAGTCTTTCCTGGTAACATGAAATGACAAGTTCAGGCTCAGCATCCCCCATTGTTAGAGGTCTTGGGTAAACTTACCCTGATAGATTCCATTGCTTTAGGTTTCTAGCTCATCCCAGAGATGCCCCCAGATTCCGGTTGTCTCTCCCAGTACCCACTAATGATATTCCGCCATACTCATAGATTGGTGCCTAACCTAAATGTCATCAGAGAAGCTTCACCCATAAACTGTTAGAAACAGATGCACAGCCAAACATTAGGTGGAGCTCCGAGAATATTGTGGAAAATGGGGAGAAAGAACTCTAGGACCCAGTGGTGTCAAGAGCACCACAAACACACATACACAAAGCCAACTAACAGGGGCTCATAGTAGCTCACAAAGACCAAACTGACAACTAGGGAGCCTGCATGATCTCGGCCCTCTACATATATGCTTCAGTGTGTAACTTGATCTTCATACTAAACTTCTAACAATGAGATCAGGGGCTGTCTCTGAAACTCTTGCCTGATTTTAGGACTCATTCCTCCTAACAGATTGCCCCATACAGCTTTGCTATCCATAGAGGACCTGCCTGTCTCTGAAGAGAAAGAAAGTGGAGTAGTTGGAGAGGGGACAGGAATTGGGAAGAGGACAGGGAGGGAAACTTGGTTGGGATGCAAAACCAAACTAAAAAGCAATACAAGTTTTTAAAAATTAATTAAATTTAAATTAAAAAAAATAAAAAGAAATTTAATCTCTTGTCTTCCTTTCTGAATTCTTGTTTGTCTAGGAGACTGGCATAAAGAAATTAGATGCTTGCTTTTCTTTTTTTTTGTTTGTTTTTGTTTTCATTTGTTTGTTTGTTTTGTTTTTAGGACAGGGTTTCTCTGTAACAGCTCTGGCTGTTCTAGAACACACTTTGTAGTGTAAACCAGACTGGCCTTGAACTCACAGAGATCTGTTTGCCTCTGCCTCCTAAGAGCATGGGAAATTGGATGACTTTTATTGTTTAACAAAGGTAAAATGACTAAATTAGAGTACTATTGTGAAAACAGTGTTTGAATGTTATTTATTTTATCCGTCTTTCTGTGAACTTTGATATTTACTGAACTAGCTTCCAGTAATGCACTAAACATCAAAGCCACACGCAGTACTGTTAATGACAGGATTCCCACAAGCACCACTGCTGCTGGAGGGAGGACATTAGGTTTTAGTAGATGGGGTGGTCTAGCGTGGTACTCTTAGTCAGTGTTCTAACCCTGTGGCTTTCTATTGCAAAAGGAGAAGGTAAGTGGAGATAGTTTGAAAAATATACTTTCTAATCAAATGTATTTATCTGTTGTGTGTATGGGGATATTTTTTGTTAATTTTAAACTTTTCATAAAATAATGGACATAGAAAATAAACTATAAAAAAAGCTTTAAGTGAAAAATTAGAAAAATTTTGAATAATTAAAAACTGATAAACTTATGGAGTTTCTGATAAGCAATTATGGAGAAAATTTTTAACAAAATGGGCTTTTCTCTGTTCTCTAAACCTCAAAGTATGAATGATTTCTAAATATAATTTTGAGAGACAAAATAAACTCTTTAATTTGTAAATAATAAACATAGCAAGATCAATTTTCAAAATGCTATTCAACTTAAAGAAAGCCACTGAACAAGACAAAACACCCAACAGACTTTAAATATCTCTGTGTCTGAGTGGGATTGATTTTATTTTTTCAGGTTGTACAAGTTTTAATGTCATAGTCACTAAAATGAGTAACTTTTCCCATTTAAACAAAATTATCATTCATCAGATATAAATGTCTTTTAAATAAGTCAATGAAGAATATTTATATTGTGAATGTAAGGCACCAAAGTGCCAACAATTGGCTCTTTCGGATCTCCAATGAACTTAGAAAGTAGGACATTATGTCACCTCTGTATTATTACTTTGTGCTTTACCAGGATTTTACATCTGTCTTTCAGTGTTTGAGAATGCCATCATATCTAAGGAATCTCAAACTATGCCTTAAACGGGTATAGGGCTCTGGAATTTCATCACTATGCTTGACTCTGGTGTTAGGTACTCTGTATTGTGTTATTTGTTGCTTGCTCATGTTTACATATAATTAGGGTTATGCATGTAACTTGTCAGTCCTCACTTATATGAAAAAGCTAGGATTAAGACAATTTCAAACTTTGAAAAAAATCACCCTTTTACATTTTTAGTCAAATTTATATCATAGATCTTAAACATTTTATTATGCTCTGACATTTCACTTTGATTGTGGGAAAGCAGTCACCTAATGAGAGGAAAATCCATCCTGCCAAAGAACAGAAAATGTTTACTTAAATTTTTTATAGTTTTATAATATTTAAGATTGATAAAATTACATTTCTCCCTTCTTTCTTCATTCCAAACTGTCCCATATATCCTTCATTTTTCTCTGTCTCATGGCCTCTTCTTTTACTAATTTTTATTACATTCATGTGAGTATATTTATGTGCTTGTATGTGTATATATATAAATGGAATATGTGTATATGTATATACATATATGTGTATGGAATATGTGTGTATATATGTATACATGCATGCTCAGTCTATACAATAGTATTTATAAATACAGTTTGTCTGATATTCTGTACAGACTGAAAAATGACCTAACATTCTCATAATTTCCCTTTTAAATTTACTTTTAAGTTTACTAAGTATACAGCAACAAAAGTAGAAGAATACATAGTAAGGAAGAGGTAGATAAATACATGAAAAACAGGTAGGCAAACAGGCAGGCAGACAGTAAAACATTATTTTAGGCCCTCAAGATATAAGCATTGGTCCAATAAGGTGACTAATTTATGGCAGGTATCTGAATTTCCACTTTGACAGTCCTCTTGGATGAGACTTTTAAGAAAAAAATAGCAGCAGATAGAGATCATGTAAACATACCAGGTGTTCTCGACATCCAGCAGGCGCTAACTGGAAGAGCTGAAACAGTAAACTGGAGTTTCTGATTGATTCCTCCCTCCCCCCACAGATAAACTTGCCAGGGCTCATTTTTCACTGTTTTCTCTGCTTTTCCTGGAAATCCAGATGGGGAACTCCAGCTGGCTAGCCTTACACATGCTTCCTCAGTTTATGCTGGATATCTGCAAGAAAAATTGATGCTATTACCTTCCCACTAGTTTTATTTTTTTTTTCCTTGAAAGCCTCATGTAATGGGACACTATGTTTCCTTTGAAACCCCAGCTGGCTGCAATAAAATGGCTTTCCCCATTAATGTATTCAGGTTATGCGCTGGAGCCAATTTTACAAACTTTTCCTGTCAGTTTTGCTGTCTGTCTGCCTATCTACCTTTCTGCCCCTCATTTTATCTATCTCATATATATCTCATTTATCTTGCAATTGATTCTTTTCTTCATTTTTTATTGAAATATTTTAATCACAGTTTCTTCTACCTTTTTCCCTCTCATCCAGATCTATATTTCTTTCTGTCTCTCATTTGAAAAGAATAGATTTCTAAAAGGTAACAAAAACCATAATCAAATAAAATATAATAAGGTAAAATAAACATCATCACTCTGAAACTGGATAATGCAAACCAACATAAGAGTCCAAGAGAATGGGTAAACTATGTATGTATTGCATTAAAATACAAAACTGAAAGCTTCATTATTTATGTGAGGCACCTGGCACAAACCCACACAGGCCCTGTGCTTGTTGCTTCAGTCTCTGTAATTTCATGGGAGCTTGCTCAATTTGTTTAAAGGACCTTGTTTTTCTGGTGTCCTCCATTTGCTCTTGCGCTTACACTCTTTCCACCTCTTCTACCACAGAGTTCACTGAGCTCTGAGGAGAGGTATTTGGTGGAGACATCCCATTTAGAGATGACTATTCCAAAGTCTCACTGTCTGTCTCTCTGTCTCTCTCTTTCTGGGAAATGTCTGTCTGTGTGCCTCCGTAATTGTTCAGATATGCTATAGAAAGAGCCTCTCTGTTGATCACTGAAAAAGGCACCGATCTATGTGTACAGTAGAATATTATTAGGAGTCATTTTATCACCATTTCCCTTTTTAAAAGACCAGTACTCTTTGGTTTTACCTTATGTCTCTGGGATATCCAGTACTGGTTCTTTGTTACCTGATGTGACAAAGGGACCTGATTCCCTTCTGTATGCTGTGAATACCATTGGTTAATAAAGAAACTGTCTTGGGCATGCATAGCCAATACAGACAGGTGGGTAAAACTAAAATGAATGCTGGGAGAAAGAAGGGTGAAGTCAAGGAGAAGCCATGGCCAGAGACAGATGTGCTAAAAACTTTGCTGGTAGGCCATGACTTCGTGGTGATGCACAGATTAATGGAGATGGGTTGATTTAAGATGTAATAGCCAATAAGAAGCTAGAGCTAATGGTCCAAGTAGTAACTTAATAAATACAGTTTCTGTGTGATTATTTCAAAAGTCTGGGCAGCCAGGAAACAAACAAGCAGCCTCACACTACAGGCACCCAATAGTGTTACATATAGGTTTAACCTCATAGAATGAGCCATATGTCAAATCAGACATTGGCTGGTTGTGTCCACAAACTTTGTGCCTCTATTGCCCTAGCTTATTTTGCAATCAGGGCAGCATATTAGATCAAACAGCTTGTGGCTGAGTTGTAAACATTTCTCTTTTGGTAACCTGTAGAGTACCTGCCTTTACCAAAGACACTAGAACATAGGATGAAGGTTCAATGTAGGTACCTCTTGACTTCTCCATATTCAATGAGTTGTGTGAGTATTGTCTTTAACAATAGGGCCTTGCTGTTGATTTATAGAGAGCTTCTTACTCTTGGCAACAGTCTGGATTGTCTGGGACCTTCCATGGAATCCATTTAGCCAATAACTCATTTGGATGTAACCCAGTCCTTGTACTGGAATCTTCTTTTAGTGACAAGAATAGCCAGTTGAAATTCTTTACCACCACTATTTTGAGACATTATTTGGATCATCTTCTTATATTTGAGAAAGAAATCCTATACTGGGTTTTCATATTGTCCCTCTATTGCCTCTCAACTCTAGCTGTTCTTTCCCACATTCTCTTCTCATTCTTACCCAATTCTTCTGTCCCAGCTGGAACCTTCCACAGTCTATCCATAAAACTTTTTCAACTTCCACATCCCAGGAATTCCTATGTATCCCCTTACCCAGTCTCTTCCTCTATACATAACTTTCTGGTTCTATGGTTGGCAATATCTTACATAATGGCTACTATCTACATATAAGTGAATACATAGTGTATTTATCTTTCTCAGTCTGGGTTACCTCACTCAGAATAACTTTTTCTAGTTGCATCCACTTGCTTGCAAATTTTTGCATTTTTATTATTTAATTGTTTCTCAATCATTTGCAATTCCTCTGTTGAGAATTATCTGTTTAGTTCTATGCCCCATTTTTAAATTGGATTATTTGGCTTTTTGATACCTCATTTCTCAGTTCTTCATATATTTTTTATATTAGTCCTCTTTTGATGTGGAATTTGATGTAGGTGGGTTTTCTATCTATCTGTTGTTTCATTGGTTAATTAATAAAGAAAACTGCTTGGCCTGAATGGTCACAACATATGTAGGTGGGAAAGACAGAACAGAATGCTGGGAGGAAGAAGGCAGTGAGACAGACACCATAGCTCTCCTCTCCGAGATGGACGCAGGTTAGAATCTTCCCGGTAAGCCACCACTTCATGGTGCTACACACATTACTAGATATGGGTCAGTCAAGATGTAAGAGTTAGCCAATAAGAGGCTAGAACTAATGGGCCAGGCAGTGTTTAAATGAATACAATTTGTGTGTTGTTATTTCAGGTGTAAAGCTAGCCGTGCGGGAGCCGGGCAGGATGAAAAGCAGGCCTGATCACCTCTTCACTACAGGAATTGGTTAAAATCTTCTCCCATTGTGTAGGCTGCCATGTGGTCCAGTTGACAGTGTCCTTTGCCTTATTGAAGCATTTCAGTTTCTGTAAGCTGGAACATGGTCTCCTCATAGTAGTATGTACCATTAAGCAGTGTTTAAAGCATCTCACTGCTTTCCTAAACTAAACTCCCAAAGTTCAAATTCCTCTAAACAAAAGCACGATCAGGCCTGTCACAGAAATGCCCCAGTGTCTAGCTTCAGCTTCTGCCTTAGTGTTTCTATTACTGTGAAGAGATACCAGGAGCACAAAAACCCTTATAAAAGAAACATTTAATTGGTGTGCGTTATAGTTTCAGTGGCTTAATCCATTATCAACATAATGATAGGACATGGTAGGGGGCAGGCAACATGGGTGCTGAAAATGGATTTGAAAATTAGTACATCTTGAGCAGCAGGTAACAAAAAATTATGAATGTGGCTAGAGCATGGGAGGCCTCAAAACTCACTCCTGCAGTGACACACTTCCTCCAACAAGGCCATACCTACTCCAACAAAGCCAAACCTCCTAAAAGCGCCACTCCCTAGAGCTTATGTGGGACAATTACATTCAAACCACTAAACATGGCATACCAACTTACACTAAGGTTAAGCACATCCCCTCATATTAAGGCTTGATGAGGCAACCCAGTAGGAGAAAAAGGGAACAAAGGCAGGCAAAAGAGTCAGAAACCAGGAACCAGACACTTGATAGTTCAAAGACCTAGGATAGAACTGACCAAAAAGACCAAAAAAAAAAAAAAAGTCAATGAAATGATTCCTAATGCCATTCTATTATACTCATAATCCACAGCCTAGCATAACCATCATCAGAAAGGCTTCATCCAGCAACTGATGGGAGCAGATACAGAGTCCCAAATCCAAACATTAGGAAAATCCAGCAGGTAGGAGCCATACTCAGCACTTTAACTCTGAGACTGAGCATGCGGCACATAAACTCTTTCTTTTTGAGTTACCACCGAATCTACCACGCAGAGCACTGCGCAGCCTGGAAATATCTCTCTGTATGGCAGCAGAAATCTGCCTTGCTTTCCCATCTGCCAAAGCTTGATCCCACAGTCTGCCCAGGCAGGGAGCGCAGACATGGTCTCAGAGTACTTTCTTCATGATCCTGAGTGGGAACACAAACATCCAGTCCCATAAAAGCCATTGGAATGTTTTATAGCCGGAGTTCACACTGGAAGCACATCCCAGGAAGTTGTGTTTTAAAACCTCTCAGCTTTTTTCCTGCTACAGCTGTTGAGTCAGGGAAATTTCTCTGTAGCACCCGGCCAGCAAACAGCAAAATGATGTGTTAAACTCTCTATTTGTGTCTAGAATTCCTTTTTAAGGCCCTCTCAGGTTTTACGTGGCGTTATTTAACCAAATTGTAGTTACCCTCCTCATGATTTAGTTAAACTTTATTTCAATACATTATTTAGACTTCTTAAAATAAAAGCTTAGTAAAACTTTTGTTATGCATTTCTTGCTTAATATTGTATATTGCTTGTAATTTTATATTTGGTATTTTTTACTATTGTATATAGTTGTAATGGGTTTGGATCAATCTTGTTTAGACAAAATGGGGAGATGATGGGGAAGCTCAACCATTCAAATTTGTTAGGGTGTCACCGCCTGGAGTCCAGGTAGAAAAACCGGAAGATTGCTCTCTTTTTGCTGTGCCCGCCGGACCTATCGGATTTTGTAACTCCCATTCTTATAGTGTAAGATTTTCCCCTCTTTAACCATTAAAGTATTCATGTTACAATTGAGCTAGCCTGGTTAATTTGTTACACTTGGCACCCGAACTTGGGGCCACTGCAGCTCCGTACCCCCACGCCATTTGCGCATACTGCCACTTGCCTTACCTTGGCTCCACACGCCTCATGACATTTGCACGCATAGACTACCCCCTCAGCCTCCTTTCTCCTAGCATTCTGTTTTGTCTACTCTGCCTATCTAAGCTGCTGCCCAATCAAAAGGCCAAGGCAGTGTCTTTATTGAACCAATAAAAGCACCACATAAAAAGAAGACCCTCCTACACCACAGGGGTAATTTTAATAGGTCTGTTCTATATGTTACTTGTTCTTTTCCCTTTGCAGCTTTTAATATCCTTTCTTCTATACATTTAGTGTTTAGATTATTATGTGGCAAGGAAACTTTCTTTTCTTGTACACTATATTTAGTGCTCTTTGTACTACATGGCAGAAAGATCTTTCTTTAGGTTAGGAAAAATTTATTCTATGACTTTGTTGAAAATATTTTCATGGTATATTTGTGAGAATTCTTCTCCTTCCTCTATTACTATTATTTCTAGATTTGATATTTTCATAGTGCCCCAGATGTCTTGGATGTTTTGTGCCAGGAGTTGTTTATATTTAACATTTTCTTTGACAGATGTATCTATTTCTTTATCTTATCTTCAATTCTCTATTCCTTCTTGCATTCTGTTGGTGAATTTGGTCTTTGTAGTTCCTATTCAAATTCCATATTTTTTCATTTCCATAGTTCCCTGCTTTGGCTTTCTTCATTAATGCTATTTCTATCCTCAGTTTCTGAGTAGATATACTCATTTCCTTGAACTGTTCATTTGTGTTTTCCTGGATTTCTTTTAGCAATTTATTCATCTCTTCTTTTAGGACCTCTGTTTTGTTCATACAGGGTGTTTTAAGGCATTTTTCTTGAGCTTCAACTAAGGTAAAATATTCAATGCCTGCTATGGTACAGTTTCTGGGCTCCAGTGGAGATATATTATCCTAGGTATTATTGATTCTCTTTTTAAACTGATGTTTGGGATTCTGGGATTGGGATGGTTACAGGACTGGGTGATGATATTTGATTTTGCCTCTATTAGACAAGTGTTTGTTTCCTTGTTTCTGCTTCCTCTTAAGATCTTAAGAGAGTGTGGTGGCCTTGTGCTGACTGATAGGAAATATTCGGTGGCTCTCTTTCCCTAACTTGTTGAGCTGGTATGCTGGCTACTCTTATGTCAACTTGATAGAAGTTGGGGTTATCTGAAACTAGGAAACCTCAATAGAAAAAATGTCTCCATAAGATCAAGTTCTAAGTCTATTGTGGGTAATGCCATTCCTGGGTTGGTAGTTGCAAGTTCATAAGAAACCAGACTGAGCAGGTCATGTGGAGCAAGACAGTAAGCAGCACCCCTCCATGGCCAGAACATTGGCTCCTGTCTCCTGGATCCTTCTCTTTTTGAGTTCCTGTCCAGATTTCCTTCAAAGATTAACAGTACTGTGGAAAGATAAGCTGAATAAATCTTTTCCTTCCCAAGTTGCTTTGGTCACAGTGTTTCATCATAGCAGTAGTAACCCTAACTAAGACAGATGGTGTGTTCTTAGGGTGCACTTCTTAGGGTATTGGAGTCTTGGATAATGGGATGAGATGAAGGGAATAGGGTTGGGGGAGAAGATCTTTGTGATCAATTTCAAATGGGGTAGAGAGGAAAGAGAGACCAAAGCAGGATAAAGTTAGGGGGAATGGATCTGGAGAAACAGAAAGTGATGAGGAGATCCACTGTCAGATTACTACTTTCCCTTAGTAGTTTGTGTGATTAAAAAATACTTCTACTTTCATCAGAGTTTACAGGAAAAGAGAGACTTCTCTGATTAATTTTCACAGAGCTGATTTACATATTTAGAAATTTTTTCAATGTTATGTGAGTTTATATAAATAACAAAATTAATACTCTCCTCTACATCTAATGACACCCCAACCAGTCAGGGCTTTTGAATGGGTTTACAAATAAAGTGTGGGATCAATGTAGTTAACTGCGCCTCAAACCCTATTAGGGTTGGGTTCCACAATGCAGATCTGTATAAGACTATCTGTGGTATAAATACATTGAATTTGAGTTATTTCACATTGAATGTCTGATGTTTTCGGTTTAAGATGAAAATGGCAAGTCTCACTGTAATTTCATTAAATAAATTTTTCCACTTAAGCTGTTCAGTGCTCTCTTCTCAGGTCTGTTCAAATAGTCATTTCTTTTGTCAGATGGTTTACTGTTTGGAGAAAAGCACAATAAAAACTTCACAACTGGATGATGATCATGAATTTGCATTAGGAGATTCCACAATTAATCACTTGTGCCATGTTGAATCTGTGGTGGGATAAAATTTATCAATAATAACTAAAAGATTCTGAGATAGGTAAAAAAAATGAGCTTCCTAATACTTGTGTAGAACAGTTGAAAAATTAGCAAATATATTGATCACCTTTGTTAGTAGCCTTAATCAACAGTGTGTTCGACCAACAACCTGCATTTTGAAAGGAATAAGATGTCAAATGGGTTTGCTGTAACTGCTGACCACTCTGACCACCTCAGTTGATCATGCACTTTAAGGAATATTAGGTTTGTTTTGAAGAGTTGCCAATAAAGTGGAGAAAGACAGATTATCCTATGCTTATATCTGAATGAAGATGACCTAAAAGCTAGACTGTGAGAATAATGAAATTCCTATTTGAAACTAGGCATCTTTTTGGTACCCTTTTAAAAAATCTCAGTGAGCAAACTTAAATTATTAATGCTCTATGAAAAGTATAATTCTCAAATTTATTGAAAAAACTTAATATAGAAAGAATATACATGTATAAGCATGAACCAAATATATAGAAAAATCTGAAATTTTTCACTTATAAAATGAAACTAAAATGAACAAGGAAGCCATAGAAAATTTGTGTACTTTAGTCAGTGGTATTGTTGGAATTCTTTTAACATATTGAATAGAATCATACTTCTTGCTAGAATTCATACTATTCTGATTTTAAAAGTACAAATTATTTATATATAAGGCCATGAATGGAAAAATTTAAGGAATATTACATATAAATTTATTAATATGATCAACAATATAGTACTTTATTGTGAAGGTGCAAAAATAGCTCAATATGATGTAATAATTTAGATTTCATTTCTGATTAAAATTAGAAATAAGCAGTTATTATATTGGATATTACTAAGTATTCCTGGTCCACCTCTCTGGTAAGCTACCAGGTATAACTTGATTTCATGAGGAAAGACATTTTCTTATACCACAGCAGTCTGGATACTATTTGCCTCCTTCTCCCAGACACTCTCCAGACATAGTTATTGTAATTAATAGAAAGGAATTCACTGATCAAGTGGTTTGTCTATGATGTGGGTTGTTTTGTTTGTTTGTTTTCAGAGTGAAAAAAATTGCACTCTGTCTTTCTGTAAGGTGAAAGATATAGGATAGTTTTTCAGTAAGTTGTCCCAAGTGAGTCAACAGACACATACTACAAAGAAGAAGAAATATATAATCCTAATTATAATTAGATGAAGAGTCTATGAATATTAAAAAACAGATCCAATGAGAGTCAAAACAAGCAACATAAATTAAAGAGTTAGAAGTAAAAGGATTAACTAATCTGATATATGATGAAGTTATTGACAGTTGCAAAATCATGAATCATTATATATATAATGGCTTCAAGTGAGAAAAATTAATATCAGAGAGGCACAAAAGTATCAGGAGGAGAGAGAGGAAGTGGAGGGTAAAAGAGCGAGCCTAAGAAACATGAACCATGAATCCAGAGCAAAAGAAACCCACCACAACACGGAAACCAGAGCTAATTCACTGGACCTGAAACCAGGGCCAACAGGTTAAAAAGGGCCAGTGAAAGAAAAGCACCTGGGCCCTAAAACGAGAGCCAATGAAACACACCCTGCCCTTGAACAACTGACCTAAAATCCATCCAATCACAGAGCTTGGAATCCAACCCATCTTTGAGATACTTCAAGCTCATGAACTGAAATCTAACCAATTTTAACTCTGAAAATCTAAACTATGGAAATCTCTACTGCTAAAGAAAAATATATAAACCTTGTACCTGCTCAATTTGAAGCTGCCTTTTTACACCCTGGCAGAGACAGCCACTCTCCAAGATTCCTCCCTACCAATACATCTCTTGAACGAAGTTTAGGTGACAGCATTCTTTGCCAAAGTGGAGCTGACAGAGAGATAACTTTCACTAGAGCAGGAGCAAATCTGGTGCATTTTGGATGCAAAAATCCCTTAGGAAGAGCAGAGCAGAGCTGTAATGGCTCTCCCAGGAAAACCAGAACTGCTATATTGCTATGGGGAAAACATTCCCCGCCCAAACAGACCTGTAGTTATAGCCTGGCTTCTCATGGGCTTACTTTTCCCTCCAGAGCTGCAACACTTATCAGAAACCTGACTGACATGTCAAGCATATAAAGATGAGCTCATTAAATGTCATTTTGTATAGCTTTCAGTACAAATTATAGTATCGGTCAGTTTTCCTTTTTCTTAATCATAATGAGATTAAATTTTCTCCTTATTTATATATCCTTCTTTTCAGAAATGACATGTAGTCCTCCTTCTATCGAAAATGGTGACTACACACCTTACAGGATTAAACACAGAGCTGGTGATGAAATCAAATATACATGTAAAGATGGCTTCTCTCCTGCAACCCGGAAAACTGTTGTACAGTGTAGGAGTACTGGCTGGATCCCTGCTCCAAGATGTATCTGTAAGTTTATGCAGACCTTTAATCACCATAATCCTGAAATTTTGGGAATACATTACTAGCAAATATTTGACTTTTTCCTGTGTACTACCCTTTAGAAACACTCTACATTTCAAAGCAATATTTTATGCAATATCTTGTATTTTTTGTTTTTTTTTGCAATATCTTGTTTTTAAGTAAAATTAAAATTTAAGATTTCAAGAAATATTATGGTCACATTTTGGAAAACAAAAAATTATAATTTAGGTTTACTCAAATGTTGGTATATGTGTTGTGTGATATTCTGATTATGTCCTGACAAAACTTCCTTGGAGTCAGAGGCAGAGGTAGCCACTAGCTGATCAAAATTAACCACTGAGTTTCAGAGGACTGTAGACAAACAAGAGACAGAAAGTACTAAGGTGTGGTTGAGAGAGAATCTCAGACAAGAATCTCTTCCTGTCACTTTCTGTCTTTGTATCAATATTATTGAAGTAAGTTCCTCTACTCATTATAATACCTACCATGGCTTTTAAATAGATTTAAAAGCACAATTATGCAATCAGTGTAGTGAGGTGGGCCTCAAACCCTTTTATTCTACAATGTAGATCTGCTAAACATATCTGGACTGTCTGTGCCCTATATTTACCTGAATTTAAATTATTTCACACTTGAATATCTGATGTTTTCTTGCATAAGATAAAGATGACAAATCTCTCTGTAGTTTCATTGAATAACTTTATTCTACGTAAAAGGTGTAGTGCTCCCTTCTCAGATCTGTTCAGTTTCTTATATCATTTATCAGATGGTTTACTGTTTAAAGAATGGCACAATAAAACTTCATTGCTGGAACAATACAGGGGATGATGATCATGAATCTACATGAGGAGATTCTACAAATTTATCATGTGTGCCATGTTGGATCTGTAGTGGGATGAAATTTGTCAATAATAAGTAAAAACCCTGGGATAGATCAAAAATGAGCTGTGTTAGTACTTATTTAGAACATATGTAAACATGGCAAATATATTAATCAATGTTGTTAGTATCCTGAGTCAGCACTAAGATAAACCAACCATCACTGCTGATGGGGCCACAGCCTGCATCTGGAGAAGTGTAAGATGTGAGGTGGAGCCGGCAGACAGATATCCTATGCTAATATAAGAAGGATGATTACCTAAGAGCTGGACTGTGGGAGGTAGTAATAATATTCTTCTTTGAAACCATGTGACTTGTTGGTACCCTTTTAAGAGAAATTTCAATAAGCTAGTCTTATATAATGATGCTCTATGAAAAACATAAATCTCAAATGTATTGAAGACAAACTCTTAGGACAGAAAGCTTATACATTTGTAAACTATGCACCAAATGTACAGTAAACTTTTTTTCTATTATAAAACAAAACTAAATGGACAAGGAAGATTTAAGAAATTTTTGTCAGCCCAATGAGATTTTGTCGGGATTGAATTATCTTAAATGGAATTTAAATGCAGCATTTCCTGGAGAAAGGACATACATAAACCAGAATATGAGATAGGGAGGACCTCACAGCCCAATAGCCTCATTTCATAAGTGAGAAAATTTGAATGTGAGAAATAACAGCTACAGTACTGAAAACAGCTTGGTATTGGCATAAAGACAGAGATGTTGACCAATAGAATTGAATTGAAGACACCAATATTAATCCACAAACCTATGAATGCCTGATTTTTGACAAAGAAGCTAAAATTATACAATGGAAAAAAGAAAGAATCTTTAACAAATGGTGCTGGCATAACTGGATGTCAACCTGTAGAAGAATGAATATGCATCCATATCTATCACCTTGCGCAAAACTCAAGTCCAAATCGATTAAAGACCTCAATATAAATCTGACCACACTGAACCTGATAGAAGACAAAGTGGAAAGTAGCCTACAATGCATGGGCACAGGAGACCAATTCCCATGTATAACTCCAGTAGCACAGACAAGAAGAGCAACAATGATAAATGGGACCTCCTGAAACTGAGGAGTTTCTGTAAAGCAAAGCACACAGACAAAAAAAAAAAAAAAAAAAAAAAAACAGCCTACTAAATGGGAGAAGATCTTCACCTACCCCACATCAGACAAAGATCTGATCTCCAAAATATATATAGAATTCAAAAGCTAGACATTAAAATTCTAAAAATAAAAAAATAAAAAAAAATGGGGTACTAAACTTATCAGAGAATTCTCAACAGAACAATGTCCAATGGCCAAAAGATACTTAAGGTCAAGTTCAACTTCTTAGCTATCAGGAAAATGAAAATCAAAACCACTTTGAGATACCATCTTACACCCGTCAGATGGCTAAAACCAAAAACAACAATGATAGCTTATGCTGGAGAGGATGTTGAGTAAGGGGAACACTCATCCATTGCTGGTGGGAAGGCAAATTAGTGCAACCACTTTGGAAGTCAGTGTGGCAGTTTCTCAGAAAATTGGGAGTCGACCAACCTCAGAATCCAGCAATACCACCCTTGGGAATATACCAAAAAGATGGCCAATCATCCTACAAAAGCATTCGTTCAACTATGTTCATAGCAGCATCATTTGTAATAGCCAGAACCTGGAAACAACCCAGATGCCCCACAATGGAAGAATGGATAAAAAAATGTGACACATCTACACATTAGAGTACTACTTAGCAGAGCCAGGAGGTGGAGGTGCATTCCATTAATCCAAGCACTTGAGAGGCAGAGACAAGCAGGTCTCTATGAGTTGTAGGCCAGCCTGGTCCATAAAAACTACTTCAAAAAGCTACAGAGAAATGCTGTCTCCGGAAAAAAAAAAAAAGTACTACTTAGCAGACTCAGCAGTAGAAAACAATGACTTTTTGAATTTTGCATGCAAATGGAAGGAAGTAGAAAACACTATCCTGAGATAACACAGACTGAGAAATATGAATATGGTATGGACTCACTCATTAGTGGATTCTAGCCATAAACAAAGCACACTGAGCCTATAGTTTGTGATTCTAAGTAGCTAAGTAATAAGGTGAACCCAAAGAAACACAAGATTGCCAGGCAAAAGTTAGGAGCATGGGGGGAAGGAATCGGGGAGAGAGAGACAGGAGAAAACGAGGATTATGGAGAGCTTGGGGGAGTGGGATGGATAAGATGGAGGAAGGACGGATAAGGGAGCAGGGAAGGAGATATCTTAATTGAGGGAGCCATTTTTGGGTTGGCAAGAGGCTTGGCTCTGGAGGAGTTCCCAGGAGTCTATGGGGATGAACCCAGCTAGGACCCTGGGCAGTGGAGGAGAGGGTGCCTGAACTGGCCTTGTCCCATAGTTAGGCTGATGGCTGTCTTAAATATCACCATAGAACCTTCATCTGGCAACGGATGGAGATAGAAACAGAGACCCACATCTCAGTACTGGACTGAGCTCCCAAGGTCCATCCAGTTGAAGAGATAAGAATGGAGAATATGAACAAGGATTCAGGACCAAAACAGGGTGGTTCACCCACTGAGACAGTGTGCCTGAACTAATGTGAGCTCACCAACTCCGGCTGGACTGGGACTAAACGAGCCTGGGATCAGACTGTACCCTCTGAATGTGGGTGACAGATGGGAAAGACTGAGCGGCCAATGATAATGGCACTGGGATTTGTCTCTACTGCATGAACTGGCTTTTTGTGATCATGTTCTCTTTGGATGCATACCTTCCTAAGTCTGGATTTAGGAGGGAGGGCCTTGGACTTCTCACAGGACAGGGTACCTTGCCCTCTCTTAGGGCTGGAGGGAGTGAGGAAAAGAAGTGGTATGAGGGGAGGAAGTGGAAATTTTGATTGGTATTATTTATAAGGTGATAAAAAAAAGAAAGGACAGAAAATCTTCATGTAAAAAAGATTTAAATTTAAAAAAAATAATTTGTGTCCTTTTGTCAGTTGTGTTTGTTGGAATTCTTTTAACATATTTCATGTGGTTACATGAAGTAGAATCATACTTCCTCAAAAAATTGAAACTTTTCTGATAGTGAAAGTACTAATTATTTATAAATAAGAACATGAAGAGAAAAATTTAATGGCACAATTGCATATACATTTATTAATATAATGAAAAATGTAGTACCTCAATATGAAGATACAAATATAGGTCAATTTGATGTAATCATGTTAGATTCAGTTCCAATTAAAATTAAGAATAAGCAGGTATCATAATGAATATGTATTCTTGTCCCAGTTCTCTGGTAAGCTGTAAGGTATAACTTGATTTCATAAAGAAAAACATTCTCATATACCTCATCAATCTGAATTCTATTTGTCTCCCCTCAAAACCTCACTAGACATTCAGTTGCTTTACTATTTTAAAAAGTAACTCACTAATCAAGTATTCTATCAAGTATGAGTATTTTTCTGTTTTTTTTTTTTTATTGCAAGTGACACCTTGTGATTTTCCACATATCAACAATGGAGGTCTAGTTAATGAAGAAACGTTCAGACTCTACTTTCCAGTATCTATTGGAAAGCAGTTCATTTATCACTGCAACAGAGGATTTATGACTCCGTCAGGGACAAACTGGGACTACATTCGCTGCACTGTACAAGGGTGGGAGCCTGCAGTCCCATGCCACAGTAAGTCAATGTCTGTATTAAATTGTGTTTAATTCTATCAAAGACTGGAAAGACAACACATACATAATTACAGTTACGTCTTCCTGCATTCTCTTGGTTAAGCGGGTCTCTGTAGTTCCTGTTCAAATTCCATATTTTTCATTTCCATAGTTCGCTGCTTTGGCTTTCTTCATTGATGCTATTTCTATCCACAGGTTCCAACTAGTTTTTATTCATTTTCTTGAACTTTTC